AGAGAGAGAGAGAGAGAGAGAGAGAGAGAGAGAGAGAGAGAGAGAGAGAGAGAGAGAGAGAGAGAGAGAGAGAGAGAGAGAGATGGACGACTCTTTCAGGGAGGCTATGTCCCCAGGTTTAGAGTTGACATTCTATTCCTGTGAGGATTGTAGGACTTAGGGAAGGATTATTATTATTCAGCTGTGACATTTGAGCTGCCACTTTCCTCGTCTGGCTTTTTCTCCCACCTCTCGTCTCCATCCCTTTCCTTCATCGTCGATGCTTGTCTCCCCGTGTATGCGCGCAACTTGCGGCACAAGGAGGCGCCTTTCTTCCATACATGTTTCCCCTTCTCAATTCTTGCCGTGATGATGATGTATGCGTGTGATGTATTTTGAGTCTGATGGACATGGTTCATTGGCCCCCTCCTCCCCTCGTTACCCTTCCACTTGGTTGTACTGTTTTTATTCATGTGCGCATTGTGCGGAACTGATGGAAACTGTTCACGAGGTCCCATAGAGATGCGACACAACTGTTTATATATGATCTGGGGATCGCTGGGGTCCCATTGTCTTTCTATTCGTCTTTTGCGGTTTCAGATATGCCATGACAGAGAATGGAGTCGATGCACCCGACCTGCCACTAGGCATCTTGACCAGGGACCACATAGAGAAAGGTACGGTTCTTCTCGCCTGCCCCACCTGTCAATACTTGGGAGATCTTTTTTGAATTTCCATGCGATGGTGCTACAGGATCACCTAGAAGCAGGTGTGAAAAAACAAGTACTGGTACTCGAGAACATCTTGATCAAACACACAAAATACGAACAGTTAACAAAATATAATTACAAATATTAAATATTTAGCTGTAAGCTTGTGATTGAATGTCTAGTAAATCCGCAGATGTCGTATTTAATTTGTAAACCACCACACATTTCCCCGCTATGAAAAAAAAAAAAAAAAAAAGAATGTGCGTCTTGCATTCCAGACGCAACTTTCAGGGCTCAGCCTTCCGAGCAAGATGGCTGGCGGCGCTAGCCAAAAGCAGGGTTCGTTTTCTTTGGCCCGCACAGGGCATTTCCAGCCCCAGAGTAAAATCGTAGATGTATTTGAAATTTAAAGTTTAAAGTTTAAACCGCCATCACGTTTCCGCGCTATGAAAGAAGATGTGCGGCTTGCATGCACAGCTGCAACGTCCCGAGCTCAGCCGCAGGAGCAAAATGGCTGGCGGCGCCAGTCCAAAAGGAGGCCTGCACCGGTTCGTTTTTCTCTTTGGCGCGCAGGGCATTTCCAGCCCCGGCGAAAAAGTGCCTTGGAAATACTGGCGGGGTTTAAACCACCAGCACATGGGCCCAGGCAACTGGAGAACCTGTTTTGAGCCTCTCCGAAAATTTAGGAGGCTGAGCGCCGTAGATAAAATGAATCGGCGGCGGGCGGCCTGCGGCCGATAGCGGGCATGTACTGGTGGTTTAAGGTAAACAGAAATATCATGGAAACTACCCACCAATAAAATCCGAGAAAATAAAAAGTTGAAAAAAGTTTCAAAAAGAAGAAAAAAAAAAAGCAATTACACTCAAATAGAGGTCCATTGGACCTTTCATGTTTTGTAACAACAAGGAATAACAAAACACCAAATCTGATAAGTGAAAAAAGAAAAACAAAGAAAAAGGGTGAAGCTTAGGGAAATATGCATACATGTTTTTAAATATATAGTGGATTCCGATTTACCCGCGTCGAACTTAGCGTTGCGAATCCATTTTTTTTTTTTTTTTTTTTTTTTTTAAAGCGAATCCAATTTTAGCTATTGCAATGTCCGTAGACTCCGTACTATGTTTTCACCTGGGCTACGTTGCAAATCCTATTTTCGCTATTACAATGTCCGTACCATGTTTACAGCTGGGCTACCAGACTCCATACTATGTTTTCAGCTGGGCTACCAGCCGGGCCACCCGGGTCACCTTGTTTGACCGGGCAGCGCGGGCGTGCGAGGACCAGTGAAGGGCCCAGCAAAAAAAAAAAAAAAAGCAGAAATCGGAAAAAAACTAGCTGGGCTACCAGCTGGGCCACCCGGGTCACCTTCATTGACCGGGTGGCTCGGCTGTGCAGGACCAGCGAAGGGCCCAGCAAAAAAAAAAAAAAAAAAAAAAAAAAAATCGCAAAAATGAAATATCGGAAAAAAACAATGTGATGCAAGAAAAAAAACAAGAATTGAAAAAATAAAAATCCGAAAAATCTTGATGCACAAAGATGAACGAAATAACTTGCTACAGGGTCTCATCGAAATTCTTTACCAAATTTGAAATAAAATATATATATATATTTTTTGGGCCCGGCTGGCCAACTTGCCCCGCGGCCTGGGCCACCCTGGTAGCCCAGGTTTTCAGTCAATGCTTCAGTCATTCTCTTTTTTTTTTTTTTTTTTTTTTTTTTTTTCACCTCTTCTTTGGGCCATGATGGAACGGAAGAGAGTTGGATGGAATGCGGTCAGGAGGAAGGAGGGACGGGAGGACACACAGACGAAAGGCGTCATAACAGATGAAATAGCCGTATTAGCGAGTGAAATAATGGATGAAGTGACGGATAGAATATTAACATGTGAAACAGCGGATGGTTTAAACTGCCAGTACACAGCCCCAGCTTTGCAGAAAATGTGTCGTTGCCTACTCCGAAAATTTCGCGCCAGGGGCCTAACGGACCACAATTGCTGGTGGAGACCCACCAAGCAAGAGAGGAAGTGCGCTGGTCGGGGGGTTCGGCAAAGCTTCGCGCGCAACAGAGCGCCTCCACGCCTGGGTGTACTGATGGTTCCGGTGATAATCAACGGTGAGGATGAACGGATTGAACGGATTGATTGATGGGATGGGATGCACAGAGAAATTGAATTACAACGGTGTCAACGGATGGAATGACAGATTAAAAAAAAATGATGATAAGATAATGGATGGGATAACAGATGGAGTCATGGATGAAAAAAAATGACGAATGAATAAAATCACCACTACCTTTCACAAGCAAACTCAAAACACCAAAATACCATAAACCACATTCTTGGGGTGAACAGTGCGCTACCAGACGAACATGGCTGGCGGTGCCAGGTCCCCCCCCCCAAAAAAAAAAGAAAAAGTTGCCCTGCTGCTTCAGCAAGCCTGGCATGCAGGTCTTTTTTTGAACGCCTCGGGAATAAGAGGCTCGGAGGTGGTGGTGGTTTAACGAATGGAGTAACGGATGGAAGCAACGATCAGATCTCTGCATGTATTCGCCAGCGTCTGTGTTGCCCAAGCTTCTGCTTAATGGATTGATTGAATTTGATTCCTGTAGAACGGCAATAGCAATTTCGTCAAAACGCTGAAAACGGACATTTTTCTTATTTTTTGAACGAAATTGTAACCGACTAAATTGGCCCGAATCCGCCCGATTCATGTCAAAATTTTTAGCTCTCGAGGGTCTGGCGTTCTTAAAATGCCGGACACCCTGCATGTTCTCAACCCTCCAAGGCGGACTTAAGAGCAAATCTGCGCATACTCGGGTGTTCATCTTCCTTGTAGAGTCTGATGGGCAGTGATGGCATACTCACACTAGGACTTCCTATTTGTGTCTGACCGCAATTACTGCCGCGCCTGGATGTATCTGACTGCAATTAAGGCCAGAGGTCAGTTCCAATGTCCAGTGTAATTTTGCTTTGAGAGTGGCATTGGATGGATAGAAGGGGGCCAGGTTGGTGTTGAAAGGCAGAGAGAGAGAGAGAGAGAGAGAGAGAGAGAGAGAGAGAGAGAGAGAGAGAGAGAGAGAGAGAGAGAGAGAGCATGGGCCTGAGAGAGAGAGAGAGAGAGAGAGAGAGAGAGAGAGAGAGAGAGAGAACATGGGCCTGCTACCACCCAGAGAAGGGTATCATTCTAACTTGATATGGCCACAGGGGCAGCGAGAAAAGATGGCCTTTCCATTTTGTCCCAGTACAGCCCCATCATTCCAGGGAATAGGCTCAGAGGGCCAATGAGCATAGGGGCAACTGGAAAACATGCCCAATAGGGGCATATGGGATTTTCCGTCAAGGGTCCAACGGCCTGAACCACCGTGGCATGTGGAGAAATTGAACGGGTGCTCGGTAGAGGGGCATTTGCAAAAGACAAGGGCAGTACGAGATGCCCGTCTGGTGTAGTAGGGCCATCCGACAGAATTGCCCATCCTGTAGGGGCATCACAGAAAAAAATCCCGTTTATTAAACTTTATTTTTTCATTTCTGATACATTCAGGATGAGGGGCAAGGACGTGTGAAACTGAGAGCTGCTGCCATTTACCGATTTCCACCGAACAGAATACATGCTCATTATCAATGTATACAATCTATCTTTTCGGTAGGATACAGTCAGGATGAGGGTGTGTTGTGCTCAGCGGAAGATGGTAGGTTGGTGCATTCAAGGCCCCTTACTTGGGCCAAAGGGCCCGGGGTCTAACTTTGTGGATAGAGTTTCTGCGGCGTTGTGGGGGGTGCTTGCTTACCAGAGATTTGAGGGTTGGATGTATGCAACCTATCTTTCAAGTCCTACACGGTTAGGAGGAGTGTGTGTTGTGTTCGGGGGTAGACAAATCCTCAAATCTTGGTGAGTCGAACCTTGGTGAGTGGGATTGTGGACTATCTTTATGGATTGATGGGGGGGACTATCTTTATGGATTGATTTTGGGGGGGGGGGGGGGTGTAAGAAGTTGGTGGGGGCATCTGTGCATTAGAGGTTGGAGGGTCGGGTGGAGTAGCCCTCGACTCGACTTCTCGTAAAGACATGTGTTGTTTTGGGAATGTTATGTCAACTTGTCAAGGGGATTCGTATATTAGCCGGTTGGTGTCATCGATCCGCAAAGGTGGTTTATCTAGTGATGTGATTGCTGGACTATGATGGTTCTGCAGAATAGTGAGAGGTGGGACGCATGTGGGCCCCTTGTGGGGTGATTGATTGCTCTGTGCAGCGTACCAAGCATTGATTAAAGTGGCTGATGCAATGCATGCTGACGGAGACGACGCTCTCGAGAAGGAGGGTCTTCTTTACGATGCCTGCAGCCAGTTTTTTACCCTCGTCCATACGACTCGACCATTCATTATTCGCAATGATGTCGAATTCGTCGAGGAGGTAGGGAAAGCATCATCATGTATGTGTGTCCCCTTGCTCTGCTTATCCTTTCATAAGTTCAGGGCAGAAAAGGCCATATCCTCTGTGTGTGTGTGTGTGTGTGTGTGTGAGTGTGTGTCCCTATGACATAGCAATGACGCAGTCCAGCATTCCCGTAAACGAGAAAATACAGGACAGGCAACATCATCTCTCTCTCTCTCTCTCTCTCTCTCTCTCTCTCTCTCTCTCTCTCTCTCTCTCTCTCT